TGTTTTATTCAAACCTCTCCCTCCTTAGAAGTTGGTGGAATTCACAGAACATGTCTACCATTAAGTGGGCCAATTAATTCCACTTTTTAGATTGTCCAGTACCCTATTTAATCCCAGACATACATAAAGCACTGAAATCTGAACAGGAGGGTCACTCAAAACAACATCCATGGAGTACTATAAAACAATCATACTGGAGCAGCACCAGTTCAAAACTAAATACCTCCTAAGGATTTTGGCAATCAACTTTCAAAATAAGTCCTAAGTGTTCCACTAAGAACTCAGGTCTCATTTTCACTCATGCCCCAAAGCTTGGCCACTAAATTACACCCAAAAGTTTCACTTCAAACTTTTAATGCCACTGGAAGTCAGAATTAAAGTTAAGATGACCGGAAAATCCCAAAATCTGTTTCGACATTTCATCCCAGTACACTGAAATGTTAAATCTACAGTAGTGGCCCAATTGATACCACATGTACTTTACCACTTAGAAAATTCTTTGAACATTTTTTATCCTAATGAACCTTGAACACAAACTGCAATACAGTCATCTATTCATTTTATCATTTTACAAGATCCTCACCATTCTACAATATTAAAAATAAATACACAACTCAGCTTTGCAAAAAAAAAAAAAAGCACTTTAAAAAACTACCAACATTTATTTCCAAATGCAAGAAAGTAACAGACATTTGCAGCTGAGGACAGGAAACACATATTTTGGTTGGCATAGAAAGTAACAAAACAATAAAATGCCTTTATTGAGAGCAGGGAAAAGACCAGTAAGAAGCGCTGGGGGCACTTGGAAGTGCTGAAGGCCTGGCTGGGAGAACAATGGTAATCTAAGGCGACGCTGGAGGCGGGGTTAAGGGGGGGTGGACGGCTTGGCGTAGCAGACTGGCATTGGGTGGGAGCGTGGGAAAATGAAACAGGACACTACACAAGGGGAGTAGGAAGTTGTAATTTGAATTAGAGGAAGAAAGGTGGGGCTTAGCACACGGCCTCCAGTGGCCAGTGCCATATTGGCTTGGGGCCATACTAGTCAGCGCCATGGCACATGGCCTCCAGTGGGCGGCGCCACAGAGACTCTAAAGGAAGTATAATGAGAGGAGAAACCTATCAGAAATGCAGTCTTACTGCACTACCACCATTAAATTGCTCAAGAGAAGAGAGAAATAGGACAGGCCAATTAAAACCATTTTTCACATAGCAAAAATAAAAAGGTCTAGTATTCTATAACCCACAGCAACAGCACTGCCTCTTATCTTTCGGAGCCAATGCCAACAAGGCAAAGGATGCAGGGGTCAAATTGAGGGTCGGTCTGAAATAGCAGAACCTGGGAAAACTCCTCCCCATAAATCATTTAGTGAACACGAGGCACTGCCGCCAACAGGAAATACACACAACCCAAAGCACTTCACCCAAACCCAGGGGCAGAGAAAGCACTCATCATCAAGTTGCTAAGCCGGTAGAAAAGCACGGTCCACTACCCTTCTCCCCCATTTAAAAAAAAATAAAAAAAGCCTTTTAACAAACGGAAACAGATCTGTAAGCACCGGGCCAGGCGCCCTTTCTCACTAGCAGATGCTGCATTTAAAGGCTTCCGCGCTGGTTCTGCAGGTACACACGCTACAGTGCCAAAAGCCTTCCCGTGGGGCAGGTTTTGCTTCTTTTTGGCCTTCGGAGAAGTGGGAAGTGGAGGAAAGAGGAGGAAAGAGACAAGAGACAGGCAGGAAAAAAGGGGAGAGAGGGAGAAAGCAAAACGCAGGCGGTGGGGAGCCGTCCTGATCGCACAGGAAGGCAGCGCGGCAACTTCACTCGGGCGCCCTCGCACCCACCCTCTCCGGGCCGGAGAGGACGCGGGGCCGGACCAGGAACGCCGGCGGCACCCGCACGCCCCGGCCAGGCCGCCTCGCCGCCCCCGACAGGCGGCGGCTGGGAGGGAAGCAGGCGGACCTGAGGACCCTGGCGCGGGGCCCGGCTCTTCCCCCCTCCCAGGCTGGCGCCCGCCCTCCTCCCTCTCCACCGGGTTAAATCCCTTCTTCGGGAGGGGCGGCGGCGACCGCGGCGGAGGAGCCCCACAAGTTTTGCGGCGCGCACCCGCTCCCGCCGCCTCTGCTCCACGCCCCCTCGCCCTCTCC